TACTCCTCTAGATTAATGTTTTCTCTCTGTGATTATTATATTTAGTTGTTCTCAGATAACAAGGCCTGGATTTTGTTACTAAGGATGCAACTTGCATCTCTTCTGGAAACAGAAACCCCAGTTTTCTATGAAGGATTCTGGTAATGCAGCACAGCAACCATTTTCTGTGTTAAAATCCACTATAAATGGAGCCATTTACAGTGGTTTGTTGCATTGGCTGGATAAACCATAATGGAAATATTTTCAGTGTTGGTGGTTACAAAATGCAGCATATTTGTTCTGTTCTTGGTCAGTTCTCTTTTAGAACAAATGGGAAAGTTTCCTTTTGTTTTCTCTCTTTTGTTCCTTAAAGACAGGGGAAAAAGGAAAGGAGATCATGAAAGGCAAGAAATGTGTCCCTCAAATTATGGAATTTATTTCTTTAAGCAAAAATCCAACCTTCTTTTTCCAAAAACACAACAAGCAGGTTTGATGAGTCCAGACAATAAGTGTGATTATCTGTGGGTTTGTGAAGCACAGCTCTGTTTTGTGCTATGATTTTATGTCTTCAAAAAGGCATTTTCAAAAGCATTCCAGGTATTTCCATGTAACTTTTCCCAGTATATTTCCCTACAAAATAATTTCTAACATAGACTGATAAATCTGTGTATTAAATAGTTAAGTCTAACACCCTGTAGTTTGAAAGCTTTGGTATTTTTATGTGTACTGTTGTCTTTTTACTGCCTTGTCCTTGGAAGAAGGAACCAATTGGGAAATCCTGAATCAGTAACATCACTCTCTTTTCTTACACTCAGGCCAAGATAGCACAAGAAAATACTAATATTTGTACTGTTCACTTTTTTTAAAAAAAATATTTTGGTTTAATATTTTTTCAGTCCAGAAGTCAGAGTTTCTAAAAGGTTGGATTACAGGTTTTGGTGATGTAAGAGATAAATTTGGGGACATTCCTCCCTCCTCTTGCTCCTCTATTCAACATTTTATTCAAAACTGTTCCTGTATTTTGGAGCTTGGTAAATGTTTCACTCTGTCCAGGGCTCATTCAGAGCTTTTCTTTGCTGTCTTGTTCCAGCCAAATTGTTCATTGCTATTTGAACTCAAAATAGCACATCAAGTTTTTGACTCTAGTGTTGAATAAATAAGACTTTTATATTTTTGCTTGATGTCTCGGATTAGAGGAAATCTGAATGGTCCTGAAAATTGCAGTGACTTTGCTGCTCATGGAAATATTAGGTTAGAAATCATGCTTTTGATACTGAAATAGGAGTTGTGGGCATGAGCAGCTCCTGTCTGATGTTTCTGTAGCTCATCACCAAATATACCCAAGGTCACAGACTCCTTGAATACCCCACTCCAATTCATGGGTGCCCCTTGAAATTACAGAAAGGGCATTTACCTTTTAATTTTTTTCTCCCCAAAAATTAATTCTTATTTTTTTTATTACTTATCATTAAGTTTTATCATCTTTCCTGCTGACAGCCTCTTAAACTCCTCAAACAATCTCACCAGTCCTGCCTTGTCCCTGCTTTCCTGCCCCTCCCTTGTTGTGGAACAACCAAAATCCCTCCTTTCAACCTCCCTGCCGAGGTCCCGTTTTTCCAAACCCCTCCGTTGTTTTGGTTCTGCTCCAAGCACAGCCAAATTTATCCTGGTGTGTCCCGAAGCTCCGTTCCCAGCGCTGGCTGCGGAAAATGCTCCAGGTGAGGGCCTTTCTTGTCCTGCCCAGGAGAGGGAATACAATTTGTGCTGCCTGCTGACAAAATCTCGGGCTTAGTGAGTGTTGTGCTTGCTCAGCTGCACTTCCGAGGCTTTTTTTTCGTTTGTTTGGTTTGGGTTTTTTTTTTTGGTAATGTCATTGATCTAAAATAATATTGTTTAATTCTATCTTAGTGATTTTCTTTAAATTCCTCAAAATCTGCAAACCCAATTTCACTGAAGCACTGATGCCTGTGTTTTGTGCTATATGTGCCTTACAAATACCTTAAATTCCACCGGTAACTTTCAAACATTTTCATTTTGAGATCCCTTAGAACACAAGAAAACAAACAAACAGAGGGGGAAAAGGTGCCCTGGTGGGACATGATCTTCTGTTCTCTCAGCCTTGCAGCTCAGGGTGTGCACTCCTTTATATTCAGACACTTTCTGGATGCAATCCCTGCTCCCAGAGAGGCTGCAGGACCCCAGTTGCACACCCTGGCCTGAGATAATGATGAAATAATTAGGACACAGTGCCTGTGTCAAAGCTTTGCTGGAGTTCTTTCTGCCCTCTGAGCTGTTCAATCAACCTTTGCAAAAGGAGAGTGGCACTGACATATGAAGTGGATAAAAAACTTCCTTCAGCATCAGAAGCTCAGTTTTTGGGGTTTTTCTTCCTCTCTTTTTTTGTCTTTCCCTATTTCCTCCTTTTGCCTCATGAATAGGTGTCTGTGTTTCAATTCCCTGAGGATTTATCCTTGCATAACTCTTCAGGATTCAAAGATTCACTTTTATCAGCTTCACCACTTGCCAGCTTAGATGAATTTAACCTGCCCAAATATTCTTTAACCTATCCAGATCTCAGCTGGTCACCCAGAGGGTGGCAGTAGGTTTGTTTTCACTCATGAACTCCTAAACTAGCCTTAAAACTTCAGCTGAAGGAACTCTGGCTTTAGACAAATTATTTGTGATGCTGTGTATTCTGATTGTTAGAGGTTGGCATTTTCTGAAAATTCACTTCTTTAGAAATGCTTCAAAATAGAAAGCTGAAGCCTTCAAAGAAAATTCTGAGTTACAAACACTGGATAATTCTGAGTCGTTTGGGTTTTATTTTATTTTGGTTTTTTGTTTGTTTGTTTGTTTGAATGCTCCTTAGAAGTGAGTTTTGGTCTTTAGGGAAATGATGCAGTCTGTGAAGTTTCCAGCTAAAATGTGTCTTTCATTTTTAAACAGGAAGGGACAAATCCTTTCTCAGCTGAGCTTGTGGCAGTTTTTTCATGGGTGTGCTCAGCCCGTGGGAAAACATCCCCGTTTAGGAGCAGGGGAGGAGAGGCTGGATGTGCACATGAGCAATTGTTGAAGTGATGGATGTCAACTTGCTAAATGTGGCAAGAGTGCTGATACTGAGGGAATCAAACCAGAAAATAGTCCCTAAACCCTTCAGCCAATGTCCTTCCATTGTCTGCATTTGAAGGGGATAGATTGCAGATATTTTCCATGTTTTGAATTTCCTTGCACCTGTAGAAATCAGCAATCCAGAGCTGCTTTTTGTTTCCTCGTAGGTCAGAGACAATATTTTCCTCAGACCCTGCAAGTGATTTTTAAATCAAAACCAAGCCTTCAATCTTTGATTTTTTTGTTTATTTGTTTGTTTCTGGCCTACTAAACCAGCTGTTGTTTGAATTTGGAGAAGACTTTTGATTCGAGGAACCAATATCAATAAAACCCCTTCTGGGAAGGGGGAAGGAGAAAGCTTAAATTAGTGAGAGGACAAGAACTGGGCCCCATCAGGCAGTGCCACATCAGCCAGTAATGCTGGGTGACAGACCCACAGTGCCCAGAGCTGACCTGTCAGCCCTCCTGGAAGGGTGGCTGCATTTGCCCCCTTCCATCTGACAAAATGGATTTGCTGTTTAATACAGAGCTCTGCTCTGGCAGCAGAAAAGGCCCTTTAATACCACATTAGTGAGAAAGCACTGAGCACCCAGCTCAGTAAAATGGATTTTTTCCTGCTTTACAAAGGAGATGAGAAAGCAGATAACGTGTCACTTGCACCTTTTGTTGTGTGACCAGAAAAATCTTCCTTTTTTTAAAAAAAAAATGAATGAGAAGAGACTGAGAACTTTTCGTTATCTTAAAGATTCTTCCCCAAGTGTTTTCAAATTATTCCAGGTTATTCTGAAGCTTCTCTTTCCCTGACAAGCAGTGCCTGTAATGACAGATGATGAGATCAGCAGCAGTCACAGCCACTCCTCTCCTGATGCAAGGGGAAGGGATGATCTCGTGGTGCAGGATAATGAAAGACTTCAGAGCTGAGCACCTGTTTGCTACGAGAGGAAAGCTGCTGAAAACGGAGCTGCTTTTCAAGCAGGTGTGTGATGTGTTTGCAGTTCTATTTTGACCATAATTGTATCACTGCAGGTCCCACCTCCACCTCTTTTCTGAGCCAAAACTATTAAAAGTGAACCAGCCCCTTTCCAGCTGGCAGCAGCATGGATTGGTGCAGTTCATCATGCACAGAAGTGCCCTCTTAAATCAAGAGCAAGGCACCCAGAAACTTTTTTGGTGGTTTCTCTGGATATATAACTATATACTATAACTATATACTGTGCTTTTCTCCTGGAGGGCATGATCAGAGAGCACGCTGAGAGCTGCCACCCCCACCCATCTTAGCCTTTAAAAACCCCTGCAATATCCCCTCATGTTTCTCCCATTTGTCCAGAGTGGAGTGGAACATAAATCATGGTGTGTCTGTCTTTCCTTAACCCTTTGCAGTTCTTTCCAGGCATCCCTGATGGGCCTGCTGAGCTTTGTGAGATCTTTCTGTGGCGGGCTTGGTTATAAACCTTAGCCCACCTGCCAAGAGAAATCAGTGTGTTTTGCAAATGCAGGGGAGTCTGAAAATGATCCAGGGGGTTCTGAGTGTAGGCTCAGCATTAACAGGCTCCTGCCATTGGTGGTATCCAGAGGAAAGGCTCATTATTCACATCCCTTTTCACAGCTGTTTGATTTGCAGTCTCATCAACACTTAAGTGCTCTCATGACTGCCAAATTCATGGAGTGTTCACAGTCAAAACAGTCTTTGTGAAATCACTCCATGGGCAGCTGGGATGATTCCAGGCAAGCAAGCAGTGTAATCAGCCACACATTTGAAAGTTATTCTGGTTCATTCTTCCTCTTTTTTTAGATGCCTCTTTTTAAACCCTTCTTTTCAGTGTGTTGAATGAAACTGTGCACACCCTCCCAACTGCATGGTGCATTAAATGATGGGAGTGAAGCCAGGGCTCTGTTCCCAACTGGTGCTGTTGTCACCCTGAACGAGGATCTTCTCCTTGGTTCCTTCGTGTCCACAATTCCCACAATTGTCCCTCGAAATGCTGACCTGAAATTTGTCTGGAGCTTTGCTGCTGCTGTAAGTAGGAGTGATTTCCAAAATTCTTTATGCTAATGCTTTAGTATATGAATAATGGGGGGGCTTCTTTATTCCTCTTTCTGTGTTCTGAAAGAATCATTAAAGCCCCAGGACAGGATTTGATGAAGGCACTTGGGCACACAGTACCAGCCTCGTTTTTGGCAGTGCTAGGACAGCCATGGGGTGCTGTGTCTTCACTGTAGAGTTAACTTGCTTAAAAGGATTTGTTTTCCATAACTGGAATCATTTTTCCTATGGTCAGGCTTGAAATTTTCCCACTTGCAGGACAGATTGCTTTTGCAATTATTTTACAAGTGGATTAAAGCACATTGAGGCTTTCTAGTGCACTTTTGGGCAGGGAGGGAGAGTGAGACTGAAGTCCATCAGAAACATTTATTCTAACAATACTGGAATGCTTTTTTCCTCCTTTAACTCTTACATGTTTAAGACAGACCATTGTCAAACACCCTCTTCTTTCACTTAGCAAGGTCTCCTAAAGCAAACAAAGCACTGACTATTTTAGCTGAAAGTGTATTCACAATAATTTCATGTCTCAGATACTGTGAATCACTGGTTTTTTGGGTTTTTTTGTTTTTTTTTAATTTATAGAGTCTCCAAGCAAAAGCAAATGGGAGGCCATGGCCTAAGAAGTGGATTATATCAGGCTCTACAGCTGCAGGCAGCCTATCATGGAATGTGGGAACTTTACCTGGAATATTAATTTTCCTTTTGATCAGTAGGAACATTTGAACAAGTCCAGTCAAAACGAGATTCTGTGAAAGGGTGACTTTGTTTTCAGCAGTGAGACTTGCACCAGAAGTAGTCTAAAAGATCATGGTTTTCAGATTGAGGCCCAATAAACCACCAGAAATGTAAATATGAGGATAGAGGGGCAGAACCACAACTGATACAAATCTATAGAACCTTATAGATTTTTTCCCCCAGCTGAGGAAGTGGACCACTGTATTTAACATCCATTAGTGGTGTATTCAAACAAAATTAATAAAAGATCAGAAGCATGATTACAGTTTCTAAAATTTCAGCCCCCTCAGCACTTTCTGATTTTTATGCACTTGATGCACCTCTGTTTTATTGATGCCCTTCCTGTGGTGTTTTAATGCACTTCAGGGTTCTGTTGAAGAAGAAGGCTTAAGTGTTGAAATTCTTGTGCTCTTCCCCAGAACATGCCCATCTGGCACTGCCACAGTCCAGCTGGAGTCAATATTAGCACTGGAATTTTCTGTGATAGTTGAGCTACAGTTTTGAAACTTACCCATAAATGTAGCCCCCAAACCCATACTCAGCCACACAAATAAAGGTGAGCTGATGTTCAGGATGGGAAGAGATGGTTGAAAATCAGGTTGGTTTCACGTGTACTTTACAATTGATGGATTTTTGTTAACATTTTGATGTAATTTAATCAATCAGTGCCTGGCATATGTGGAGTTGGTGAATACTTTTAGGCATAACCAGGAGGGTGAGTGAAAGTTCTTCCCAGTCAGTCCCATTAAAGCATGATTCCCCTCAGAGGAGAATGTCAGGAGAAAGGATCTGGATGCAACCTGTGAGAAAGCTGATTTTTCTAATCTCTAGGAAGAGACTTTGCAGACTGACAAATCTTCAAAAGGAAAAAAACCAAACTCCTAAGTACTGGTTTGTTGCTTAAGGAGTGGCAAAAGTGAAAAGGGAGCAGAATGAATGCTGATAATGGACATATTAAAGAGCAAGAAAGGAGAATTATTTGATAGCTGGAGGGATAATTTAGCTCTAGGGACATCCATGGATGAAAAATCCATGTGCAGAAAAAACTGCATCAGCAAAGAAACCACGCACAGAACAAAGAAACCTGAACTGATAAGATGGGTTTGCTCTGAGTGAAAAAGATTGGGCTGGCAAAGAAATTGAGGCAGATCACAGTAAAAGAAGATTTTGTTTCATTCCCCACTATATCCCTGTATTTCTTGTGCTGTTCATGGCAGGGCCTGGTTTTTGGAACCTTTGCAGCCCTCGCATCACTTTGTGTCAAATATTATGGGCTTCCAAACAGGACTGAACACTTGGACTGCCAGCAGATCTTGTTTGAGGGAAAATATGCTTAAATAAGGGGTGGATCTGGGGTTCAGCAGAGGTCCTGAAGCTTCTGACAGCTGGAATTTCAGCCACAGTTCCCAAATCCCTCAGAAACCGAGGATTTACGTTCATAAAGTGATGCAGAGAATGGCAAAGGTCCATTATTTGTCCTGCTCTCCTCACAGACTCATTGTGGGTTTCAGGCTCTAATTCAGTGGCAGATTCATCTTCTCCATTGCATAAATGCTTTTCTTTATGTGTATTTTTATGCAATTAATGTGGAGCTTAATAATTTTAATTTGATTTGTGAAGCTTAAAATTAATTTCTTTGTGTCTTTGTTTTGGCACTACTGCACTTTGCTTCAGGTGAGTGTTTAGATTTAGGAAATGGCAATATACGAAATTTATGTAAAAGCAATAAGTACATATTGATATATGACAGACAAACCACTGAAATTATAACCACAAGTATTGTCATTTATTACTCTGCAGGGGAATTCTGTTGGCCCTCATCACAATAAATGCCTGGAATAAATCCCTGCCTGAATTCTGATGCATTAGTAACATTATTTTGCAGGAGTTATCTTGAAATTGCATTGCTTTACTTGTGAGAATCTGCCCATGGGGGTGAAAAATTCCAATATAGCCAGAGTAATTTTGGAAGTGCATTTCCTTGGGAGATAGCATGCATGGAGTACCTATTTTATATATATATATTTATATATAAATATTTATATATATATATATATTTATGTGTGTGTATATATATGTAGTCTAACTACCTATCTACTTGCAATACCTATCTCCCTCACTAATGTAAAATTTACATTACCTTGATCTGTAGCAGCTTTATTTTTAATCCCTAAATATCCAGGCTCTTCACCCTGATTTTTCAGCACATGTAACTTTCTCACTTTTATGATGAAATCACAGCAGTTAAAATGTAAATGGCAAACAGAAGCAACACTGCTCCAAAATGCCACTGGAGAATATTCTGCTTAGTTCTGAATAGGTCTTAATTTTGAACTTGTTTAATAATGGTTTGGCTTCCTTTTACATACTTTAATGACATTTTGTTTATACATTTATTTGATGACTTGTCCTCTGTCAAACAGTCACAGGAGGTTCTTCACTCATCCATTACTTATTGCTCACACCCAGGCTAGAAACACACTTTTAATATAATTTCACTCATTTCCTCAATGATAAAATCAGGATTGCACACTCTACATGGTTTTCTCCTAAAGAATTATGTTTTCCTGATTTCTTCATGTTCAGAAAAAATTCTTATAAAGCAAAGATCTCATCAGAACTTCAGTCTGGACAATGTCCCGTGGCCATCCTTGTGAAATCCTGGTTATCCCCTCCATCCTTGAGGGCAGCTGCAAGCCCTGCAGACTGAGCCGTGTTTGCAGACTCCCAGCTCTGGAATTTGATGAGCTCTGCACGTTTGGGTGGGTTTTTTCCCTCTGCTACCTTGCACTTGTATTTGATGGCAAAGCCTGGGTGCAGCTTAAATTATCATTAAATTATTTCCCAGGGTTCAGGGGTGTGGGACAATCCGGCTCACGCTCTGGAATTGTTTCTCACCGATTGCTCCTCCAACGCGCTGTGGTTTTTGCAGTTCTCGATTTGTCTCCCCCTTTAGAGCGCCTGATTTGCCATTTTTGTTCCTGTTCCCCGAGGTGTGATCCCAGAGCTTGCTGCAGAACAAACTGTTCCCTTAGCAAAGGGCTGTGGGAGGTGTCTCACCTCTCTTCATCTGCAAAGCTCATCACGGGCCGAGCGGTGCTGCTGCAGTGCCTGCCGTGTTATTAATGCTGCTCTCATTGGGCCAATCAGTTTTAATTAGCACACTGCCATGGAACAATCTCACAGAATGCTTTGTGGAGGAAAATTGATCTGGCTTTAATGCTAATTAGTTTGCTGGACTCCCTGCCTTCTAAATGGGAATTGATTGCTTCCCTTCAGCCTCTCCTTCTTTCCTGTTCACTAATTCTCCCATTAACTCTCTTTCTCTTTTTTTTTTTCTTACATGATTATTTTTTTTTGGGTGTCCCTGTGTCTCCCTCAATTAATTCTGACCATAACCCCATCTTTTAGTGCAACATGAAAAGAACGGGGCTTTATCCCTTGTCAGAGAGAGCCTTCCCAGGCTGGGTTTCACATGGGATTTGTTGAGTGCCAGTAAACTGCAGAAGAGTGTGACAACGAGGTCAATAAATGGGAGAGTGAGCAACAGATAAATCAAGTGCTCCTGGCTGCTCTTAAAAAAGCTCCCTAAAATTGGGATTAATTTGGCTAATTGTGAACAACAGCAATAATGCCTGAAAAGCCTGAAAATTCCAGCTGTGTAAATTGACAACGTTGTTCTGGTTCAGTCATGCTGCCTGGCTTTTAATAGAAAGGGAATTAATAGGCAGAGACAGAGCTGACTGCTAAAACTTTGCTCTCTTTTGTTCTTCCTTTCAGGAATAAGGGACAAGTTGCAGGATTTGAGGGGTGGCTCCAAGGAAGGAGGAGATGCCTTTTTACAGGGAGCCCCAGGGGAAACACGAGGAGGATGTGGACAAGTTACTGCTGGTGAGATTCCAATTACAGGAGGAACACTTTGCACAGTGCAAACCAACACCAATTGGAATAATCTGACTGTATCCCACTCTTGGACACTTTTAAGGTTCAGCTGGACAGGGGCTGGGCCATCTTTTTTGGAACAGGAAAGGATGGACAAGGTGATGCTTGAGGTCCCCTTCTAGACTGGTGTTCTATAATATAATTTCTTTGGGATAGTTATAAAAACCAAACCCAAACCACAGACAAACAAACAAGAAAAACCAACCAAAAGACCACCAAACCCCCAAAGGATTAAATTAAAATTTTATCTTTTTCATTTGCCTTTGTTTTTTTGACAGTCACCACTCATGTCTTTTCCTGGACAGGTCAGTATTTGTTTGTGCTGTCGCAGTGCAGATGATGGGAATGAAGCAGGAGAAGAATCTCTCTTATTGAGCCATCAGTCCTTGTCCATTTTTGCTTTTAGTGGCATTAGTCATGTTCAAAGGTGAAGTTTTTCTCCCACTTCTTAATAAAATAAACATCCAAAGGCTGCTATAATTTGATGAATGCATCTGTGTCAGAGAAACTCTCAGAGACATTATGTGTGATGTCAAATCACTTTAGTAGAGACACTTCTAAACTGTGTGCTCACTGGCAGCTGAAAATAAAGCAGCCATTTGAACTTGGGTAAAATAAACTATTACAATTTTTAGTAACAGACTGGGCCATGAGAGGATGTCTTTACTAATTATTACCTGATCAGCATCGTGTTCCTTTTCATGTTCCAACAAAATTGCTGAAGGAGCAATTAGGACTGCACCCTGTTAGTGTTTGGTACGTCCTGAACAGTTTTTTACTGAGATGATTTGGTCACATCAAAGTCTTGATTTCCCTTCCATCAGGATGTATCTTCATTTTATACCAAGGAGTGGTTATCAATTCCCAGCTCTCCTCCTCTGGATGTTAAAATCCCTAAGGGAGATGTTGAAGATGTGCTGGTTTATCTCAGTCTGTAAATCAAACAGTGACACTTATTCTATTCTAAGATATAAAGTCTCCAGTTGTAAAAGGGAGGGGCCACACTGAAAATCTCCTTATTCATTGCAGTTTGTGACTAAAGATTCCCACACCTGGCTTGTCCTGCAGGAAAAGCTCAAATTCTCTAACCAAAGGCCTGAAATCTCTAAATACTGACTAATTTGGCAAAACAGACACATCCATGAAACTTGTAAGCAATTATCTTCAGCTTCTAATGTTAAACTTATCCATATTTTGACATAGATGAAGTCTTGGCCCCTTAATAAGCTGCATTTTTAAACCTTTGAATACAGGTTATGTTAAGGACATCTCTCTGCTTCTTGTAGATCCTGTGAGATGGGACTGAAACAGGTCAGGTTTGTCCAAGTGCTGCTAAACTTAACTCTTCTATCCCTATGAAAACCCAGGATTAAACTTGGGCACTGCTGGGAGGAAACTGTCAGGAAATTTTGATTTTGACCACAGGGTATCATTAAAAATATTTTCCCTGCTGTGCCACACGAGGTTTGATTAAATATTTGTTCAAACAGCCTGAGTTTCCCCAATGCAAGGATGGGATGTGAATATATCAGTGTAATTTGGAGTAAGAAAAGAATTGGCCCTTTGAGGCATTGTTTTGTCTGGTTGGGAGCTCTGTGTGACGGGCCCATCTCCCATCACCAGGGAAGAAGATTGTTCTTTTAATGGCCTTTCTCTTCTCTTGGTGCAGAAGGATTTTCATTGTGGGACCCTGTAGTGTCACTAACAGAGAGTGAAATTAGAAAGTACTGGCCAGCCTACAGATGCATTAAATATTTATGTTTAAAATGTAAATATGTGTCCACACACCATTTTAAAATTAAAAGAAATCAGGAGGCTTCAGGAATTTGTTTGGTTTGGTTTGGTTTGGTTTTTGTAATAGAAAAATACTGTGCTGCTATTCTGAATTTCAAGGTGCTCAGAGCTGATGAGGTTTTTGGTTGGTGGTTCAATGTTTTAATTTGCTTTAGAGTGTGATTTTTCACAAGTGTTTTATTTGAAAATGTGTCCTGTAGCAAAACAAGTTAATTTCTCCCTTAGAACGATGTACACTTTGGGTTGTTCTTTTTTTTCTCTAAAACCTCTTATTCCCAAAGAGCCTTTGAAAACAAGGAATGAGCTCCTGATGAAGTGAAATGGAGATTTTATTGATCCTAAGGCTTGTTTGCTTAGAACAAGGCAGAAGAGTAAGAAGAGAAAAAGAAACAAACACTTGGGCAAATATTCAACAGTGCTGATGCTGCAACAAAAATGTGGTGACTGACCCTTGGAATACAGATTTAGGTTGAGGGCTGACACAGGAAAAGAGAAGCTAGATGCACAATTACCATTTCTGGGTGTATGGATTGCCTAAAAACACAGGCTGCTGAGTTTGGATGTAGCAACTCAAGAAATAAAATCACTGTTGCCCAAATGAAGTGAATGAATCTCGTTTGTTTCTGCAGCTCAAGCACAACAGTACCTGATTTTGCATCAAAAAAAGTCAGAAAGGAGTGAAATTAATATAAAAGATCCAGGTTTGCAAGTTATCAGCTAAGAAAAGGTGGGAGAGAGAGACAGTGTCATTGTAAAGAAAAAGGTTTTTAGGAATCTCCATTAGAGATTTTCTTTCAGAAACTCTAGTCCTGCATGCAGTATTTTTGGGGAAGGAGGGTATCTGAGAAGTTACCACAGTGTCTGTGTGCTGGAGAGCAGGGAGTGAAGCTTTAGGATGTTTTCTAGTACTGCTGTTTGTTTTTATACATAATATTTATTTTTTCTTCCTGCTGTGTGAACTTTCTATATTATAAACAGAAACATGCATGAGTGGGAGGGGTTTTGAAGAGAAGAAGTAAGAATTTACTTGTGTGATGATGTTTAGGTAAAAGATACTTTATTGTTAGTTGTTGTTTGGTGGGTTTTTTAATTTATTTTTATTTTTTTATTGCAGTGATAGCAGCTATCTTGTCTTCTACCAAGAGGAAATCCTCCAGCACAGGGCAGAGTATCCCTCCTTTCTGAATGTCAAAGCTCCTGAGCTCTATCCTGTTTGTTCCATGTAGTGTTGCTTTGGGGTTTATTCCTGGGACAGAACCTCAGTTCTATTTGCCCTACAGGAGCACTTTCACTGAGGTGCCCCTTTATGTTTCAGCTGCAGAGATCAAAAGATTTCCTGGAATTTATTGCCGTGTCTTTCTTCTCAGGGTCTCACAAACAGGAGAGGAACGTGGGAAGTGTTTGTGTCTCAGAGATTGCAGTGAATGAGAATCTGAGTTCCTGCTGAGACAGGTAAAGAACAACTGAAACACGAGGAGAGAGAATAACTCATCTTTATTCTCTGCTTTGTCATTTGCTTGTTAAGCAGATGTCCTTCCAGCTGTATTTCCCTTTTCTCACGACTAAGAGTTGTAGGAGAACTCGCACAGTTCTGTCTCTCTAAAGTTTCTGAACTCACCTGTCTAGAATAGCAGGTCAGGATTGTAAAAGGATGGGATTTTGGATGGAATTCTGAATGAAACTGAAGGGAAATTTCTGAAGAAACATGATTCATGCTTAAATATTTTTTATTTTTATTTTTTAATGTTTACCTTGAATTAAAGGCCAGGTTTCAGAATGTTTTTACACTAGGTTGAAAAATATTGATGGGAACTACGTTTGAAATGATACTTTCTGTTCGTTTCCTTTCTTTATTATTTTCTTTGCCTTATTAATGTCTGCAAATCTGAGGTGCTGTTTGGAGGAGTTTGGTCCCAGATTCCCCAGGGAACACTTTGGTTTGACTTGCTTGTGTTTCACGGGCCTTTCTGAGAGTTTTATCCCATCAGATCTTTTACTGTAATATCAGCCTGTCAGAGGGGATTTGGGGGTCCATCCCCTCCCCACCAATTAAAATGGAAGTAATTTAGCAAGAGGAGGCCTTGCAGGATCACAGCTGGCAGCTTTCATGCAACTTAGGCTGAAGTTGGAGATACTGCCTATTTAAACATGAAAAGGTCTATAAAATGTCCACTGGACTGCATTTAATGTGCAGCACAAATCAAATTCCTGGACAACCAGATCTGTGCTCCTGCTCCACTTGCTATAAGGCAGTAATTCATTTTCCATTCATTTTCACACAGATTATACTTTCTTGAATATCGAAAAGAAAGGAGTTGGAATCAAAACCTAATCCAGAATTTGCAGCAAATAACAATAACAGCTTTTTGTCTTTCTTAGTGCCATTGATCTCCTGATTTGGACACAGCTCTGTAATTCCTTTAAATTTAAACTGAGTGACACAGCCCGAGGCTGAGCTGGGATTCAGCTGCACCCTTCTCTGAGCAGGAGTTTGGAAAGCAAGGGAGTCCTTTCTGCCCCTCCTGACTCAAAGGTAAGGCTTTTTAATAACTTTTTCTCAGCCTCCCCTCTCCTGTGACAGGGAGAGAGACTCTGGGGGCAGCTGAGCTGTGCCCTGCACCAAACACATTTATTTCCTGAAACATTAACTTGGTTTTCTGCAGACTGTTTTAACGTTTAGAGTTGAAGGTTTTCTCTCACTTTTGCATTGCTGGATAACTGTAATAATGCAGAACATATCATAAAGTTCACAGAGAGATGTAAGTCTGAAACAACGTTACAGCTCAAAAAATAGAAATGAAGCAAAGTCCAAAGAGAAAACTGCCAATGGAAATTGGTAGAAATTGGATATGTATGTAAATTACAAAAACTAATCTGCTGAGATTCATAGGGCAAATAACTCCAGCTACTGTTACTTGGCACCAAAGAGAAACATCTCATTGGAAGTGCAGCTGCTGGAGAAATGAACTGATAAACATAAATTGAACAGGAATGGCTGCAGGCAAACTGGAGCATCAAACAGAAGGGGAACAGGGAAACAAATGGTGTTTGTACACATGTGTGTGCCTGTGTACAGGTGTTATACACATAGAAACATCTGAAAGCCTCAGAAACAGAGGGGATTGTCAAGGATCCCCACCCAGCAGGTTTCCCAGGTGAAAATCCCTCAGCCACTCTGCCCAGGGATGGAGCCAGTGCAGAACAGGGCCCTGCTGCTGCTCAGGATGGGATGCTAACTGTGCTCAGAGGTCAAAGGGATGGAAGGATGAAATCAGGCTCTGAACAGATTTCATGCCCCTGCTGTGAATTGATTAATTTAGGACTTTTTTTTTTTTCTCCTTTTAAACACAGCTACTGAAATTTCCTGTATTGCTGGCAGAATCAGAAGATAGCCTGTAGCAGCATTTCTGCTGGGTGAAGGATGAGCTCTCAGTCCACTGTCTGTGCCAGACCATCATCAGCACGTGGAGAAGTGGGCATGAGAGTTAACAAGGCTGATTTTGTCACTGAGACTGTACACTCAATAAATCCAAGTTCTTTGCTAAAGAGGAGATTTCTGAGCCTCCCATAAGTAAAGCACTGTTGGCACTGCCAGCTTCTGATCACTGGTGTGCAGTGAAACCTGTTTCTTTTTCAGCTTAAGCATTCTCTGATTTCCAGGTGGATTCTGATGTTGTGCTTTGCTGCCTGAAGGGGGATGGATAGAGGGGCTCCATCCTCCCAGATGGAAACCTGATCCCCTTTCTTGATGGAGCACTGGACACAGCGTGATGTTTGAAAAGAAAATGTCATTTTTGTGCCCTCTGAAGGTGGGCTGAGCTGTGCTGCCTGCCCTGGCAGGTCTGAAAGCTGGAGCACCAGCAGAGGAACTGAGGTTGAACTGCAGCAAAAGGGTTGGTTCATTCAGTGCTCTCAGGGATGCTCTTTGGTGCAATTGCCACCTTGGCTGGGTTGGTTTTGCCCTTGGTGGAAAGGTTGTGCTGCCAGGAATTGCACTGTTCCCATGGAATTGGCTGGGTAAAGGAAACTGGGAGTGATCCTGAGTTTGAAATGGGAAGGGAAATGGGATGTGGTTGTTGTTGGCACACAGGGGAGGGGAGAGTGGAATGTGTCCCTCTGTGTGCACTTTGTTCTAGGAGAGAGAAACCAAGGGCTTGGGTGAATTGTAAAAACACAAGCTGAGAAATGCTGACTTTGGCTGCATGGGATGAGTTCAAAAGTTTAGCTCCATCTCACAGAAAGGTTGCACTGTCTGCACTGCCCTCAATAACCTTGCTAGAGTGATGATTTTGGTTTTTTTAACCTTCTGTCTCTAAAAGCCTTAACAAGATATAAAACAAACACCAGAAACAGCCTTCACTGCATTTTCCAAAGGTTCTTTTGTGGCAAACTTTTTTTGCCCGGGTTTCCTTGCAGCAGCTGAATTCTGGTGTATTTTCAAGCTGTCCTGTGGCCTCTTTGGCTGCTGTGGTCACCTCTTTGCCTCCCAATTGAAGTGGCTGTTTCCACATTTCTTCCCATGTTCTGATGCAGGGGAGGAAAGAGGGCAAAGTGTCAGTCAATTGGACAAATTGTTGTTGGCTCAGCTCCAGGCTGCTCAGAGCCAAGCAGGCTGATGGCATTCAGTCTGAGACAGTAATCCCCACAAACCTGTAGATATATATATATATATAAACAAAAGGAAAATGACAGCTGGAAAGTACTTTATTGTTACAAAATAATGTGCAAGCTGTTTAGTGTTGAAAGGTTTTCATATCTGACTCTTTCTGGAGTCCAAGGGAAGTGATGTTTTATACAAATCATACCAGGTCCCTGGACATTATAAACATGTAAAAAAACCTGGGCTGATGCCAAAGTTGTATTAACCAAATCATTCAGAATGCAAAAACTACATTTCCATTGAACTCCCTTTTTACAGGTCTGGTCTACTTTGGTAGAAAGAGGAAAAGTCAAAAGGAGATGATCAGAAACAGTTGACAGCTGGCTGAATGTTATGCTTATCTTGAACCTGGATTGACATTTAGGAAACAGTGTTAATAACCAGAGAAGAGAACAGCATAATTTCAAATCTTAAATATTAATTAAAGTGTTACAAGGCTGAAAATGTTTCACTAGTTTTGTTTGATTCAGTTCTAACAGCATTAACAGCCTTTTCTGTTCAATCCTGGTTCTATTACTGTGTCTTTCTTGTATCCAAAAAAAGACACCGATATTTTATCTCACTTTTTTCATCAACAGCAAAAAATATAGAGAAGAAAACGAGTGTTTCCCTCAGAGTAAGACTTTGAATCCCTCAAAATATGACCCTGAGAATGCAGGAAGGCTCTTGAGTCCCTATTTTAAAAGAAACACATCATTTTAACCTTACCCACTGGAACAGCTTTATTCCCACGAGCACTGACTTTAAGAGACTAAGAAAAAAACACCTTGAGAATTTAAAGAGGTGGGAGAGGAAACATCTCCTGTCCAAAACAGCCACAGTGAATACAGGGGGGGATGTTTTGAGTAGTGCATTTCACTGGGGAAGGTGGGACTGGGAATGGAGTTTGGAATGTACTTATTCTTTTCAGGCAGAGCTGCCAAAAAGAGGCTGAGATGGTGGGTCTGGTAATGCTCATTTAGAGCTGTTTCTAAACATCTGCCACAACTGTACTCTGATATCCCACAGTATTTGCCTAATCAGCTGAGTGATTAATTTATTCCTAACCTTTATTCCAGCCTGTTTCTGAAAGGAGCTGCCTTTGGGCTGGTCAATAATGATCCCCCCAGCAGTGCACCCAGCAGGAGCTCAGTTGGTTCTCCTTTGACCACTTTCTCTTGGTGTTTTTTCCTTTGTTTTGTTGAGAGTGCAGAAAAGGAATATTTCAAATGGAGCTCATTGGATGTTTCTGGCAGAGCAGCCTTTTGGGAGATGTTTTGATTCCAGGGCAGAGCAGCTTCTGTAAGGAGCTGTTTGGCTCAGCACAGCTTCTGAACTCCAAACAGGGGGAAAATTACAAAATGACTGCTCCAGTGAGTCCAACAAGGACAAGGAAGAGAATGTGAACAAGCCCTGGGAGACAGAGCATTGGCTGAAATTGCCCTGTCAGTGCATGTGCATGACACACAACTTCAGCATCACTGAGCTCCTGGGCAAGCCCTCAAAAGGTACTCGTGGTTTGGGTTTGGGGTGGGGGTTTTTGTCTTTTTCTTTTTTTTTCTTTTTTCCTTTCTTTTTTTTGTGTGTTTTTCATTTGTTTTGGGGGTTTTTGTGCATTTTTGTTTGGCTTTGGCAGGTTTTGTTTGTTTATTTGTGAGGATTTGTTGGGTTTTTAATTTCCTTTTCTAAAATTACACAAACATGATGCAGTTCTGCTGCTGAATTTGTGCAGGGATGCACTCTCCCCCTAACAAGTGTTGCTTTGTTAGAATTATAAAGTGACAGCTGTGCAGATGTACAAGGGACACCAGATATTTATGAATGTTCCCTTGTGGACTTCTGCTTGTTCCTTCCATCACCTTCCATTCCACACCAGTAAATTAGAGGCCACTGTCTCCTTGGCCCCCTCCCTTCACATAATTCACCTTAAATTGGTGTGCCTGGCCTTTGTTTTCTGCTCCATAAAAAGCATCTCTGTCTTGCTGGAGAGTGTTTAAGAGGCAAAGCCAATTTCTCGTTTGCTTCAGAGGCAGAGATGCAGGGCTGGCCAAATATTTCCCCTTTGGCAAATATTGCAGTCGTGCTGGCAGGAACGGGGCTGAAAGGGGCAATGGTTGGAGTGATTTTTTGGGGTGCTGAAAGGGGCAATGGTTGGAGTGATTTTTTGGGGTGCTGAAAGGGGCAATGGTTGGAGTGATTTTTTGGGGTGCTGAAAGGGGCAATGGTTGGAGTGATTTTTTTGGACTGGGATTTGAGTTCTTCTTTGGGTTTTGACTTACAGTCATCAGCTCAACAAATGAAACCTGAGAAAATGGAGCTGCCAACTTATTTCCAGGTTACTGTGGAGGCTGAAGAGAGAGAGAGACCCAACCCCCTGCAGCAAATGGACATTTTATTCTGTGGGACTGCTAAAAGGAGAGAACAGGAGGAGTTCTGGACCAAGGTTGTTTCAACTCACTCAAATGTGAGTAGCTGCAATACCTCATGGAGTGTGTGGAACTTCAGCCACTGAGAGTTAAAACATATTTATCCACTTAAAATACAGCTTTTTGAAAAGAATCACACCTCCATCAGCTCTCTTCTGGATTTCCTCTTTCAGGTTGAAAGTGGAAGAGAAACAGACTTCCAGCTTTGCAGGATTTCAGAAAAAACCCAAACAAACTGAATAAAATAACCCAAAGACCCCCTCAAAACCCCAATTAGCAATTGCTAACTCAGCATTCAGTTTATATTCCTGGGTATTCAAAAGGGTCATCCTGGCTCAGAAAAACAGTCCTTCTGTGTCAGGATTCTGTTTCTGACAGGTAGAAAACAGAAGCCAGGGGAAGAATATAAGAATGGGGTTAATAAGAGGTGTTACTGGGGTGTTGCTGTGTGTGGAGCAGAGCCCAGAGTCCCCAAGTCCCCACCAGCTTAATTTTTGGCAGAAATTTGTTTATAAAATTGTTTATAAATTACAAAATTATTTATAAATCCATATGATTTATGGCAGTGTATATATAAATATGTGCATCCATGTAATATGTTTATAATTATTTCTGTGTCTTATAAAAAAAAGATAATAAGCCTCATCTTTTAGTCCCATTATTCTTTATGTTTCTTGCAAATGTTTCCTTAACTCTGCTTCCTTGCACCAAAGCACTATTCCAATATTCCTCTGGGCTTCTCTTTTCCACCTTTCAAAATCTTCAAGGTAGAAAGCAGGGAGAAGAAAGGGAGAGTTGCTGAGGAGAAGGAGGAACCCTCAGAAAGTTGATTTCCCTTTCCATTTAACCTTTTCTGTGGTGTGAAGAGTGTCTGTGTTGCACAGTAAAACAACATTTGGGTCACAGATTGCTTTTTAGTCTGTGGATTTTCCCAGTAAGAGAGTTCTCACTGCCAGTTTATCTCATGCAGGATGACTGCTGTAAAATTCGACTTTTCAGGCACTGTGAGCATTAAAAATATTTTTAAGGGATTTTTGTTTTGGTTTGGTTGTTTGTTTTTTAAAGGTAATTGCTGTTTGATCGAATCTGATCTCAGGCTGCCCCTTGGAAATTGTAGTTCAGTTGTTTATTTCATTTCTTAGCTCTTTGGTTGGTCTTCACTTTCCTCATGGGTAAAAATAGCCCCCAAAAGACAAAATGAGGACATAAACCAAGTCCACTGGATATTCCAAATGTTATTTCCTGCTTACTGTTAAGATTAGATCTTTTTTGGTGGTTTTTTTTTTTTTTTTGGTGTAATGGGTAAAATGTTATTTGGGTATGTAATGGGTATGATGTTATTTGTGTTGGGATCATCTTTGGACCTGGTGTGTCTGCTCCATCTCTGTAAATGACACAGAAGTGTAACAATCCATCTTCTCAGCTGCAGGTGAGAATATAACCTTACCAGATCCAGCAGGATAGCCCAGCCTGGAACAGGAACAGGAGATCAGGGAATAGGTGGGTGACACACAGGAGAAAACAGTAACTGCTGTACAAACACCTAAATCCTTTTATTTTGGGGGCTGTTCGTGCCTGTGTGTTCTGCTCTGGGCAGCAATATCCCTTGAGATCAGTATTTAGTACTTAACTAACAGGAGACTGAAGCACAGCTCTGGCCAAAGCATCCCCAGCTTTGATGTCCCTCCAGTGGCAGTCTGGGAAAATGTGGATTGATTTCCCTGGAGCAGACCTGCAATTGTCTGCAGTGATGATTCTGGTCAGAGGAAGCTGCTGGGAAACTGCTTTGGTTCCCTTTCGGAGGGGTGGCTTCGATCCCATCCATCTTCTGGCAGGGCTGGGAACTGCCAGCACTTGAAGTTGGGATGCACTGACCCTTCATTCCCTCAGCAATTGCTGCAGAGAAGATTGCAGGAGGTTTCCTGGGTTCAGCTCGGTGCAGGTTAAAGATCAGTGCTGGGTGAAGATACGAGGCAGGGAGAGCAACTTCTCTTCTTTTCCAGTCATTCTGAAAGGGGGTTGTCTGCAAGTGAATTGTTTGGCTTATTTGAGAGCAGAATTCCAGAACCCCATGAGGAGTGGAGAGCTCATTTGATAGGTTGGTTTCTGGAGGTTTTTTATATGAGCTGAACTGAATTCTCTCTCTTATCTGTAGCTGGGATTCACCTTTCCAACAAGCACAGTTGTCTGGGGGCTTTTTTGTTGTTTGGTTTGGTTTTTTCCCCCTCATGCACAATACCTACCTTGCTCATTTTCCATCCTTTGCAAAGTTAAAAGCTTCATCTGCGATTTTCTTCTAAAACAGTAGCTCCAATTCCTGCATGTGGCCCTTTTTTTTTGGCTCTGATATAATTTTTCTTACATTACTTCCTGATAACCTCTTTCAGATACATCCTAACCAGTGTTTGTTTCTAGCTCAGGTTTAAAACTGGTCCAACAATTGTAGCTCTAGTGGGCAAAGCACAAACTTCTCCTAAACACTGTAAGAATGAATTCCACTATTTCTATAAAACAGGAAATCAAGTTTCATATTTTCACATTTTTTTCCAGATTTATATAGAGCAGAGTTTGATTCTCTGAGGGTGAATTATAGGCCTGTGTTTTGGGTGATTTTACTTCACGAAATTTTCTCTCATTTCCAGCTCTCTGATTTAGCACATGTAAGATGTAATTGCAAAGTTAGAGGGCTTCTTTTTTTTGTTTGGTTGGTTTTTTCTACACCTGCTTTTAATGACAGGTAGGAAAAAATGTGTCAGCCTTATGGTCAGCTTGGGAAAAGAGAAGGGCTGCATTTTCTGACCATCACAGAGATGAGAGTTTGGTGATACACAACAGTTAGCCAGAAGCAAGAATATTATTACCAGTGGAAACTGAGAGAGAAAGGTACAAAAAACCAAAGAGAGAGATGCTGGGATGTGGAGTAAATTATTTAGTTTGCCTCCAGGCCCCTGAAACAAACCCCAGAGCCAATTCACAGACACTGCCCTGAAGTGAGTGGAACAAGTTTTGACCCACAATCATCCTGATCACTGGAGAAATGCAGAGCAGTGATGCTGTTCCAGTGGCCTGGAACTCTGCCCAGCTGTTTCCAGCTTGCAGATTTGCACTGAACACGCCTCCATCCTCCCAGGATAACTCACAGTCCCACAGCTCTGCTGGCTTTAGGTGATCATCATTGGCTTGTTTAGGGACACCTTCTATGGGTCCTGTTTTCAAACCTGGGACAGGAGTTTTTCAGAAGAATTGAGAGGCTCCAAACACGGGGTGAGAGCGCTGGGAAAAGTGGTTTGGTGGCAGCAATGTGCCAGGTTAGTATTTCTGTGCCAGCCCAGCAGGGATCACCACTCAGGGGTGGCTTTTTTACTCCATCCCAGCTCTTGAGTCTCTTCAGGGCTTCATTAAAATCAGTCTGTTCTGGTGGGGCAGTTTTTAAAATAGACCCCACAGCAGGAGGTGCCACCTTCTTCAAGACATCTCCCTTTGGTGAGCCCACAAATCCAAATGGAATTACATGAATCACTGCATGAGCTCTGCAGGGTTGTCTTTAGGAGCTGAACACAGAACTTTGAGATCGTTTTGTCATCACTGAGATCATTTTATGGAGTCAGAGTCACCCAGAGGCCTCTGTGGATGAACAGCACAGGGGGAAGTGTTCCTGCAGTTCCCACCCAGCACAAAATTAGCTGGGTTGGGTTTTCTGCCAGATACCTTTTCTTGCTTTTTAATGAATAAGATAATATTAATAATATTTCTGGGCATATAACACCTCTTTTACTGGCAGATGCTCCCTTCCTTTCTGAGAAAGTTTCCAAACAAGGTCAATATTTTCACGTCCCTTCAACACAAAAATTTCTTCCCTGTTTTTTCCCCAGGGCAGTGAGAATTTTTGCACACTGTTCTGGCCAGCAGGAGCCTGGCTTACCAAGGTGAAGCCTTCCATGAGAAAGCACACAAATATCTGTGCTGCAGCACGAAGCCAACACAAGTCTGTGTTATTTTCAGAAGGCATTCTCCAAACCAAGCAATTTACCTCAGGTAGGTGCCATTTTTCTCCTGTCACCCTCTGTGGAACAAAAACTGTGGAGTCTGACAAAACCAAAGTTTTGCTGTTTGACAGGTGCTAACTTTAGTTTAGCTTCCAATTCTAATTTCTTTTTTCCCCTCTCATGTCCCTAACCTGTTCCTTACCTTTTTGATTTTTTTGCATTTATTTTTCTAGTGTTCCACTCTTTTTGTATCTCTTTTACTGATTCTTCTCTTCAATCTGTCCAAAGGCTCCAGCCAGGTCTCCCCTCACAGTCTCCTCCAGGCTGAACAAACCAAGTGACCCCAGTAAAAGTGCAGATGTTATTCTAAAAAGAAACTTGTCAAAGGCTTATGAAACATCCTGGTTTAATATATTCAGCTGTGTCCTTTGGTATTGCAACAGGCAAAGATTGTGCTTGAAAATGAGTTTGTGTGTGCACAAGTCCAGCTGATAAACTGGGACTGATTTCTGTGATTGCAGAGGGGTGTTTTACAAAAGAGAAGTCTTGGCAGTGTGTTACTGCAGTCATACAGAGCTCTAAAAGAGAGAAAATTGTACTCTAATATTTTTAAAAATAATTAAGGCATTAAATTGCTCCTTTGTTTCTTGCCAAAGGCTGATGTAGATTAGAGAGAGAAAACAGAACGGGGCAAGAAATCCTCTCTAACCACTGAAAGAGTTGGGCACGTTGGGTATTTTAAGGGCTTATTTTGTAATTACAGTATATATTTTTTTTTTACTGGGGTTGTTTCTGACTTTTGTCTCCCATAAGAGCTTTCAGTTGGATTTGTAAACCAGTGCTCTGATCCCATCTGCTGTTTCTGTCTCTGTTGTCTCCATTCCACTGGCAGTTCAAACATCCCTGGGAGAGAAATGTGACAAATTATCTGTAAGCTTTGTCATGTGGCATCCTGCATTTGGCTGCAAGCCAAAGATGTGCTTAGAAATCTCATCAGCAGCTGGAACACCTTGATGGTGCAGTTTCTGGCTCTGCTTTATTTCTCTAAGTATTTCAAATACAAGTCAGCTCAGTGCACCTTTGAAGAAAGATCATGGCTTTTGTCTTTGGAAAGACCTCCTTTGGAAAATGCAATAATGTCAATGATTGTAATGAGAGAAAATTTACTTTTTTGACCCTTAGGTGTATTGTCATTTTTTGTTGATTGCCCAGTAAACTTTGTGTTCATGTATTTTGTAGTTCAGTAACTAATGACCACATTAAATGTTTTCCTGTGAGTAGAACTTTGCAAGTCTGTCTACACAACTCCTCTGTGTATTTTAGAATGTTCAAAGTTATTCCATAAATTTGGTTTTAAGGGAAAGGGCAGCAATATTTAGGCAGCCCTAAAATGGAATATTAAGCAGAGAACACATGAATAGTGAATGCTCCCTTTAGGTTCAAAGTTCTTTTGTGTTTATTACTTGTTAAAAACTGGTGATCTGTGTAATATGAAGCACAAATCTTATGTTTTCTCCTAAGATTAATTAGTTTTGTGGCACATTAATCAAACAAAATCAGAATGCACATTCCTGTGTGGCTTTCAGACATCTCATCTGTTTAACGGGGCCATTTGGAGAATTAAGCTCAGTACAAGTAATTTAGCTGAAGTACAATCCACAGGAGAGATTATTTAGCAATTTACTCGTGTTTGTCTCAGGTTTGTTTTGGGGTTTTTTTGTTTTGTTTTTCTCCCCAGTTATTTATATACATACCTTGGTAGTTTACAACAATTCTCTTCTGCAGCAGAGGAAATATCTCTTTGTGTTGATAAAACTCTCACAGATTGATTGCACTCAAGAAAGCCCCACAAAGCAAGTGGTTAAGAGCAGGTCCTATTCCCTCCCCTTGTTTGACACTCTCCCTTTGCATCTCATTCCTGAGGAGAAGATATCCCCACTAAGGTTGTATCCCCAGATTTCAGCAGTGTTGTTCAGGGGCTGAAATGCATTTGATTCACAAGAAATTCCCAGTAACAAGCTAGCCCGTGTTTCAGAGGTGAACTCAGTAAGGGGAGGTACTGTGCATTTTTTGCATTTACCAGTGTTTTTCAAACACAAGTAAAAATGTAAATAAGGATAATAACAGCACTTTAGAAGTCAAGCTATTGTTTGACTTTATTTTATCCATTTAAAAATGTTATGTCCAGCGTTGGATATACTTGTTTAATGAAGTTTTGATCTCTTTTTAAGAACATCTCACTATTGCAATATGAAGTGCCTTGTAGTGTTGCTCCATTATCCAGATTTTAAGCATAACTTGAACAGACTGCAGTGTGATTTCTGTATTAACTACTGTGACTGTTCATTTTGGTTCTCTCTTTTACCCTTTCTCATCTGATATGCCCTAGCATCTTTAATTTGGTTTTGTTTTAGTGCTTAGATATCTATGTCATTCCTCCCTTTCTACAGTGTTCTTTGGGTTATAAAAGGAAGTTCTCTTGACTTTTTGTTTTCAACAATACAATTTTATCAGATAGCTGGAAATGCAGAACATTTAAACAGTATCTATATCATGAGCAGTCAAAGAGTCAGAGGGCTGTGGGGATGCCCAAATTCGGTGATGGTGCCTTCAAGAAAAAGTAAATGTCAGATAAACATTTAAGTTCTGTCAGTAGAAATTAGTTCTGAAATAAAAATTCCTTGCACGGTGCTTTTGGACTTCTCTTCCCTTCCTTGCACGCTGAGCCTGTGGCAGAGCTCAAATGCCACTGGGGTGCAACCAAACAGGGCATTTTATTGAGAACAAAAATCCTAAACAAGAGCACTGTTCTGCACTTAGGACGTGGAGTTTCCCCAAGACCAGCACTTGCCCTCAGATTACTCTTGCACCTCAAACTGTTAAGTCAAAGCACAAGGTGGTTTTAGTGCCAAGGAGACCTTCTTGGTTGAAAGAATTGCAACTATAGCAATTCCCCTTTCATCAGAGTGGAAAACCTGATTTATTTGTTAACCTAAACAAGGTTTCTGTTCAGATTTCCTTAGAAAGAAAGTCAATATCCTTTCCCAATGCTTAATCCATTCCATATTGGAAGCATTACACTACGTTAGCTTTGCACAAATCACGTTGTGGTTTTGGTAGAAAAGAGTTTATGTGGTTACTGGGAGAAATAGAAATGCAAATAAGAGTCTGTGTTTTGCTGATGGTTATTAATTCCTGTGCCTTTCAGTGGGATAGCTGGAGAATTGGGTTAAGCTTCTGGGCATGAGCACAGCAGGTTTCTGTATTTATGCTGTATAATCTATATTTTCCCTTTCTTTGGAATCTTTGTTTACTTGCCAGGCTCTCCTTTGTGGCCTCCTTTTTACCACTGCACTCCGGGCTCTGCTCTCTCCTGTTGTTTCCTGGAGCTGAAGGCAGAGAGAGGGACAAAAGAGGGTGTTGTTCCCATGAAGTCGTTATGACCTGTTTGGGGTTGCTCAAGACTTGGCATTTTAAAGTTCTGGGGGAATTTCTTTTCAGTGTTTGTTTGTTTGTTTGTTTCTTCATTTTAAGGGTGCAATTTCTCTCTGTTTCCTTTTCTACCTCTGAGTTTTATGCACAACAAATAAAGGAAAATGTGCATCCTGTAGCCCACCCAGACAATTGCGTTGGCAAATTTTGCTGGCTTTTGAAAATGTCTGTGAATTTGTAACTTGCAGAAGGGACGTGAGATCTTGGGATAAATGCATCTTCAGATCAGGGCACATCCCTTTAAAAATCTGAGTATGGATAATTTGCACAAGTTCTGGAAAAAGCACTGCTCTCATGTAACTTGGAGAGCCTCTTGTCTGTAATGGCTCCACCCCTGTGTGCTGATGTTATTTAGGAAACTTGACCTGCACATGCAGCATTAGTAATAACCACATGTTCATTGTGAACTCTCATTTTGGGAGACAACAAATTCATTTTCTTTTCAGATTTCTACATTTATGTAAATGCACGTGAGTAAGAAACGTGTCTGTTTTGTTTTCTGGATGCTTTTTCCAATCTCTCTTCCCCAGTGGCAGTGGTTGATGAAAAAGATTATTTTATTAATTAAACATTCAAAACAATGCAGTTTGTTGCTGGCAGCCACTTGTTTGGAATAATCTTCCATGCATCATAACTTGCCATCTTTGTATTTAATTGCTTTTCCCCCCTCCTTCTCTTCCTCTGCAGCATCCTTTGAAAAATCTCTCCTGACCTTTCATGCTGCTTTTGCATTTAATGTCATTTCAGTTAAGAAATGCTTAATTACTAAAATAATCGCTTCTGCTTTTAATCTGTTTACGTCCTTCTGCCTGGCTCTTGTTCTCCCAGGGTAATTTCTGACGATGGCAACGATGCCCGTGTTAAGGGAGCAAATGATCTCTCCCAGCTCTTCCTGGGACTGTTCACAGCTCACCCTTCAGTCTAACAGGAGTTTCAGTGAAGCCCCGACCAAGACAAACCCATTTGATGTAGAAGAGGTGTCAGGTTTGGGGTCGTAGAGGTTTAAATATCGGTCAGGTAAGAGAGAACTTCCCTAACTTCAAGTGAATGGCCCCATTTGAAACAGCAGGGAAGATTACAGCTCGCTATCCAGAGAGGCATCGAGCATGGATGTGACAAACCCGTGGGGAAAAGCAGTGGATTAACACTCCTGAGAGCAGTCACCCACGTGCAGCCCGATCTGAACCCTCGGAGAGATCTTTATCCAGCCCCCCATGTGCAAGGGGCTCCAAACAATGAGTGGGACCAACCCCCCGTGCCTCTGAACTCTCTCCTGGGAACAGACTGCCCTCAGATTGACAGCTCTGTCCCTGCCAGCAGAAAGTGCCTCCCTGACATTCCTGTGCTGCTGACAAAGGAGCTCAGAGAGTCAGCTCTGTCAGAGCAGACAGATGTGAAAGAGATGGATTAGATATGACACGGTTGCATATCTGAAATAAGACAGGAGTAAATTGCACTTCTCTGAATTTGCTGTGGCCACACGTGTGACTGAGTGCCACTCAGCTTCAGCAGTCAAAGCTCAAGCAGGTTTTCAATTATGCCATTTTTTAAATCTTCAGGAATGATCAGATACTGATATTTTGTCTGGCAAAACCAGTCACAGGCCACTGAAGATAGATATAAACTGGCTATATCTAAAAACCAGTGGCAGAAAAATCCCTAAATAGATAATGGAAAAATGGTGAGAAAACTGAGATTGCTTCCTCTCTGTCTGCTTCTCTGCTCCAGAGCTCTGCTGATCCCACCAACATGAGTTATCAGCCTTTAGGAATCGTCAGTGTAGTGCTTTTTCTGTGCACCCATTTGCAGAGGCAAGGAAATGAGGTTCTCAGAGTGAGACATCTCAGTTTACACATCTGCTATCTCTGCTAGTTCTTCCTTCTTTTTTTTTTTTTATTTTAAGTCAACCTGGTGTTTTTGCCGTGAGTTTATTGAGAACCTAATATGTTACATTCACAGATTTTTGGCCCCAAGATGACTCCATTTTACAGAAGTTAAAAAGAAGCACGTTTACAGATCCAGCCTTGGAAACCTTCAGATTCCCAAACATCAAATGGCCTCTGACTCAGTGGGTTTTCTGCAGATGGAGGTATGTCATCTTCATTTTCCCATCTATTTGCTGGGAAAGCAAGGGGTTTGTGGCAGTCTGAGAGAGGGGACCCATCCTGAATAACCCCAGAAAGAAATGGGGAAACTTGGGCTGCTCTTCCCCTCCTCTGTTTTGCACTCACTGCTCTAACCCTGGTGTTGAGACACTGTGGTGAATCTTTTAATGAGCTTTAGCTCATTGATCACCTCTTGGCTGCAGCTCCAGAGCAGTGCAGCAGGGAAATTCGGGTCCTTCAGGGAAGAGGGTTCTTTACACCCCTTGTCGAGGCTGTGGCTAAATGTGACAAATTAGTTCTCAGTTTTGTAGTTCATTTACAGGTTTGCTTAATCACAGACAGAATTGTTGAGAGATTTTTATTCACTCCCACTTGGGCTACAATGTCAATAGGGAAAATGGCTTCTATTATGTTCTGCTTGCCAAGGTTATTCTCCCACACTAAAAAAAAGATAAATGTTTGAAAATAAAGTTTGTCAGGAAGCAAAATAAAGTAGTTGGCCTTAGCAAAAAGAGAAGTCATGATCCCCCTGTGAAGTTCTTAACTTCCTGTAATTTAGCTTGTAGAAATGTATTTTCATAAAGTGCAGGCTGCTGAACATTTGGTGTCTCCTCGTTTAGCACAGAGGATGGTCTGCATTCATTGGAGATCACATCTCAGGCAGCCTAAATGTGATCACAGAGCAGTGACACAGCAGCAGCCCCACGAGCAGCTTTCTTGCTTTGCAGAGTCCTGACCATCTTGGCCACGCTCATTTCCCCACTGGAAGAGCTGCCTGCTCCTGAGGGCAGCCTTCATTAAAAAGGTGAGTGCTGGAAATCACTGCCAGCAGATAAAACAGGGCAGAAGGGCTGCTGAGGGAAAATCCTGCAGGTCTGGGAAGCTGCAGGCACTTCAGTGGTGGATGTTTGGGAGGCACCTGCCAGGCAGGCACACAGGGGGTTATCGGGCAATGATAATGCAGGGACATGAAACCGTCTCTTGTGTGCCCAGAGCTTTCCTAAACTGCTGAATTGACTGGAATTCGGTAGAAATGAATCCAGTGGGAGGATCAGTTTCTCTTAGGATAAGTTTCTGTCGAGAGGCAGCTGAATGCAGGTCTCTACAGCACACTGAGCTCAGGGCTCTTGCCCAGCCACTGCAGCAGTGCTGAGGGATTTGGGCTGACTCGCTTGATTTGGGCTGATTGGAAGGTGCAGCACAGCCAGGGACTGCACCAAGGGACAATTTTATCTCCATGTCCAGCCAAGCCATTAAATGTAGTCCTTTAGTGCATACAAAGCACTGTGCTAATTGTGAGGGGCTGTTCAGTGGGAACTGCATTAAAGGGCTCCATTTGTGTGGGGAAATATTCTTGTTTATGGGTCCCTTACATAGTTAATGTAGGACTGGTTTGATTCTTGCAAGTCTCTTTCCATCGTTCTTTTTGTGACTGGAGTTAACTCTACAGAGAGAATATCTGGGTTTTTTGGTCATTTCCATCTGGTTTTGTGTATTCCAAGTGATTTTTTACCTCCACAGAGGAAATGTCAGAATCTGCTGAGTCCATCTAGCACACTGAGGTATTCAGTCTATTTTTCAGCCAAAAAATGTTATTGAGAAGCGTGCAGATCATGCAGACAATTTCAAACATGGTCAGTTTAGGTTCACTTGTCCATCCTTGCCGAGTGGCTCATGGTTTTTTATGGTTAAAATTGTGAGCATTCCACACAAGACAGGTAAGCCCTTGGCCCAGTGGTTAGTTGTTCAGTTTACTGGCTCTCAGCCTAATTTTCTTATAGGATTTGTTTTGTAGTGAAGAATTTAAATTAGATATGTGATGCACACTTTGTATATTCAGTTGACTATTTAGGTAACAAATGGGGCTATAAACTCCCTGGTGTGTTTAAATAAACTTGTCCTTTGTCCAGTGTTGTCAAAACGGAGAACACTTCCACAGGGGAAAAAAAAAAAAAAAAAAAAGAGGCCACTGTCTCACTTAGCAGGATTTCCCAAGCTTCTGCAAATCCAGGACACCCAATCTGTTAGCTAAGGACTCACATTCTTTTAAAGATTTCCAGTGATTTATTTTCAGTGTCAGTGACAGCATCATCATTACTGTGAGATCCAACTGTACCAAATGTTACTTTAATAAATCATCAGCCCTGAAAATCAATACTCCAATGAATGGAATCAAATGAAACTCTTTCTGTTGCACAGCTTCACTCACAAAGTCAAAACCTGTGCTGTCCAAGTTCATAAAATTTCCATCAGCTGGTTGGGCCAGAGCCATCAGACACAGTTCCCCAGGCTCAGTGTCAAACAAACCTCACCTGTTGATGGATTTATTTTCTGTGTGTCAGCCCAGCAGTGTGTCTGGGATGTTATATTATGGCATTTGCTTCCTCTGAAGTGACATGAACTGCTGCTTTATTTCATGGCCTGAAAAGGCACTGAAGGTTAGGGCTGACCTGCCTTTTTCTCCTTGGGGAGTCCTGGCTTTCCATCCTGAAGAACCTGTCTCCTCCTCCTCCTCTACCTCCTTTTAAACCTCCTCTTGCAGAAAAAATAGCAGCTCTATTTGTTTGGGTTTGGTTTGTTTTGTTTTTCCAAGTTTGGTTATTGGCCAAGTGCATGGCACAAAATGAAATATCTGTGTCTGTGCAGACGTGTTTGTCATCTGTGTCAGGACGTTGATGTTGACACGTTGGAGTTGTTGGCAGAATTTTTTGGTGTTCCCTACATTTGCCTGCACCACTGGTGGAATATTTTTGTGCTGCACTGGATTTATTGCTGCTGCCTGGAAGTCTGGTGGAATTGGTGGTACTTTCTCCTCATGTTGGCATTACTTCCTACCAGTGATAGGAAAAAACCTCCTGGGACTGAGAAACTTACACATTTGTACACCTTCTGTCACACATATAGTATATATATAATATAATGTTAATTGATCTAATAATCCAGTGTCTCACATTGTCTGATTGCTTATGTCTTATTATTTATGAAATTTAATGTCTTATTATTTATGAAATGTAATGCTGGCTAGTCCAAGTCTAGCACTAAGACTGAATGCAGATAAAATACCTATACCAGAATGAAAGCAGATTACTTCTCCAGTAAGACAATGGAGTGTCTTTTCCTGCTTTCCATCATCATTAAATGCAATCTAAATCTTTGTGTGTGTATATATAATATATATACCGCCTTATATATTATGTATTATTTTGTATATTATATATAGCATACATAATATGTATTTGTACATAAAACTTTTTGCATAATTTTTATATGTTACTCAAAGCGTTCCTACAGCAGCAGTAACTGGAAACTCTTAACTTTGTAAAGCAAATCCAGTGATCCAATGAATTTCTTAATGTGAATATACTGTAAATCTCCATGTTGCTTTGGCATCAGTGCAATGATGCCATTGTTTTAGTGATCGAGGCTGTTAAACCTCGTGAAGAAAATCCAGACAGCATTTCCTTTATAATCTCCACGTCTTCCTCTTTGGTTACATCTAAATGTTCAATTTTCATCGACTATTGTTTTCAACAAGAGCATTTAACTGACCCTCGAGGTGAAGCCACAGGCAGCAAGATTAATTTTTTTATTCTCATGTTTTCAGCTTTCAAGCTTCAGTTTTAATTTGACAGGAAATACCCAAAATCTCGGGGAGCAGTTTGCACTCATTCAGCTGCAGTCAGAAATAGTTTCTTGGGTGACTTCAATGCCTCTGTGCTCAAACAGCTGAAAGGAGGCTGATTTTGCCAGGTAAGGCTGATCACTTTATTTTAGGATCTTCTGCTTCCTTGTGTTCAGCTCTCATCTCTCGCAACATCCTCAACCATAAAAGCCCGAAAGCGCCGGTGTTCCCTGAGTGAGTTCAGTGCCCTGGGGAGAGGCAGAGAAATCCTTCACCCGCTGTGCTGGGCTGGGGTTAATCACACACGGCATTTGGGGCTTTCTTCTCTTCTCGGTGCTTTGCCGAACCGCAGCAGCGTCAAATGGTAAGTTCAGATCCATGTTCCCGATCGCTGTGGCATTTGGGATGGAATTGCATCCTTTCCCGCTGCACTCATTATCCCGCTTACAGCTTGGAGGGGGAGGAAGCTCCCCCTGTCTCGCACACAGGGAGGGAGCAGCAAAGCCCCTCGATGCCAAAATGAGAATCAGATGGTCTGTTCTGTGTTTGGATCGCAGATTAAATCTCTGCTTGCCGGGACAGGGATGCCTGGAGCGCCTGCAGACTCCATGGGGCGGGTACAGCTGCTCTTTGCTGCCTGCTCCCATCTCCAGTGCCTGGCTCTGCTGTCCTGGAGCAGTGAATTGTTCCTCTGTCCCTCCCACAGCCTGCTCCCACTTGTCTTTGGGATGGAAAGAGCTGCCTCGGGGCTAGAGGAACTTTAAAGGGATACCATGAGCTCTCAGAGCCTTGCAGATTTATGGGGTTGTTGCTGGACATCAGAAGTCTGGGAACTTAATGGAATTTGCCTCAGGGCTGTGTGGGTTTAAGGGCTCTGAAGGATTTGGGGATGTAAAAATGCTTTTAATAACTAGGTAACTCACCTTCAGATCTTACAAAAAAACCCTACCTATTTAAAAATCATCCTGCTGACCAACTATAATAGATTAAGTCAAAATTAGAAATGCCTTCCCAAAGCTTTATTTGAAATGTGGCAGGTCACTCTCACCACATCTCCTAGCAAGATGTAGATTTATTCCATGTAATACAGAATCACAGTCGAGGGTATGGAACTAGTTTATCTGTAACTGGACAAGAGTCATGCATATTAAAAATTACTTTGGGAAAAATCCCGAGACCTTAAGAAGTTCTACATGCTGTATTTACCCTTTTAAAGCAGTACCTGGAGTATTTATTCCAGCTCTGATATTCCCCAGGACACCAACTGATCACAGCTACTGTCCAGTGACAGTCAGAGAAGAAATCACTGAATTATCCTCGGGGTTAATTGAGTTTACAGGTTAGTTCAACAGTTCAGCTCGAGCCAAGGAGATGAAAACCATCAATTGCTGATGTGTCTGAGGACCGGGGTCCTCTTGCAAATCAGCCCTTGACAGACAAGGGAAACAAATGCAAAGGAAACCAAGAGCTGGTGATTAATGATGAGAATTGTGTTAAGGCTGCATCGATGAGGTGGTGTCTGGAAACTCAGTCAAAGCACTGAGCTTTAGCACTCCGGGCAAACAAATGCAGGAACTGAGTTTCAGTTTTTGACAGCGATGCTTTCAGAGGTTTCTAAGGTAAAAGGGATCCTGTTTGGTAAGATGGGGGTTTAATCTCAATCTGAAGAAGTTTCATTTGTTACCTCAGTAATTTCAAAGAGAAAAAAAATAACAGATCAGACAGGACAGCAAATTGTGTTAAAAACCCCTACCATCCAAACCCAAAGCCTCCCATTCACACTCTTACTTAAACAAACAAACAAACAAACCCTTTGTGATTGTTTCCCACACTGAGAAGAAAAGCCCGCAGTCAATTCTGACCAAAGGGATCTCAGATCTTTGTCCCTGGTGAGGGATGTAGAGGAAGAGGATTTTGATTTAGACACCCCAAGGCCTTTCCCCTGAAGAAAAGCAGGGGCCATGGAGATCTTGGAAAAAGGTGCCAGTCCTGACCCCGGCAGAAGGAATGGAAACAAGAAGGAAACAACCCATTGGGTGTGAGAAGGGCGAACAACTCAGAGATGAGAAGCTAAAGATAGAAAGGCCTGCCAGGCTCTGTGCTCGGTGGATGCCCCGTGTGTGTGAGAAACAGGAGTTTTTCAGCTGTGCAGAGGAGCAAGAAATGTTGCCCATTGAATCATCATCACAGGGTGCCCAGTTTTTATTTTTAGGGTCGTCCTCTCCAGCGACAGATCTTCTCTAGCTCTCTCCAGTAAGGAGCTGATTTCATTGACCTGCTCCTCTTCCAGCTGTACAATACAAAGCCACCCTTGAGGGCTCGTGTCACACACAGCCTTCATTTCCTATTTCAGGAGCACTTATTCATTTACAAGCTTTCCATGTCGTCTCAAGGCAGGTTGGTTTCTCTAAGAGCCTGTGATGAGGGACTTTGTCAAAAAGCTTGCTGAAATCCACACTCACTTTGGCCGAATATGTTTGGATTTCAGTGGGTTTATAAAAATCGGTGGCAAGACAAACATTCCTGTAGCTCTCTAAATGAATTTACAATTCAGGCCTTGTTTGTGGGGAGAGAAGCAGGGAGGAAAGCAAGAGGAAGGGTGATGTTCAGGAGGTGTTTGACAAACCAGGTGCCCTACAACAACTTTATCTTTCAAAATTTCAAAATACGTATTAAAGATGTGTTTCTTTGTGTGACAGGGAGTCAATGGCTCTCTGAAAAAGGGCTGCAAGGCGCTGTCTGCTTTCAACCAGCAGTTCTTCAGATGGCAAAACATTAAAGCTTTTCACAAAACTGGAAGTTAAAAATACCATAAAGCAAAGAAATAATGAATATTCGAGTATTTCTAACATCACATCAGCTAAATGGTATGGAATATTAAAAGAAAATGAACATTTATACCAGCCTGTTCCTCAATTTACTAAGGAAACCTGTAGGTAAGCTTAGACTTATGAAACAGGAGAAAGCCATTTTGCAAGGCCAGTGAAGCTCTGATAGGAGAGGAATATAAATCTTTGTGAATAAAGGAATCAGAATTTTCTGCTCCCATCCCTCAGTTTTAGAGGCATTCCTCTCTCAGGGCTTTGATTTCATCTCCTCTGGCTTCCTTCAGACAGCAGCAAGAAGAGAAATAAATAAACTAAAAGGCCCTCTTCCAAGTGTAATATTTTTGCAGAGGCATTTATTCATGAAACTCTGTCTTGCAGACCAAACAATTATGACTGATTTGGAAAACTTTTCTGTGTGCACTTGAAATATCTGAGTTCATCCCCTTTCAGCACTTGTCCCATTCCAGGGTGCACTTCTCATGCCCTGAAATGCAAGAAGTGCGATGGAATCTTGTTGCAAAGCTCTCAGCCCTTTCTGATGTTTGAAGGGGTGTGGGGTGTTTTTGTATTGTTGTTTTGGTTTTTGTTGTCGTTTATTTGTTTTGTTGTCGTTGTTTAACCGGTCCTGTGTAGAACTTTTTAACGTTGAATGTTTTGTGAACTCCGTGTATTTTTTAATCTGTAGTGAGAGTGCCTGCAGGCACTGTGGTTGTGCCTCTCTCCTGTAAATAGAGTGTTGTCCTACTGTTCAAGTGACTCTCCATGCAATATAAATGTATTTCAGTAGGGAGGGAAGCAGTGCTGAATTCACTGCCCTCAGGGCAGCTAAGCAGATGTATTTAGGGTGGCAGAGTGGGCACTACTAATACAGGAGCTGAATATCAACATCACATCCTCCTCTCAGCTGAACTAACAAGCTGCCATTTTTCCCTGATTCCTTCCCTAGATTAGCTCAACATGTT